ATTAGACGCTTCGAATAGGAGGGCGGCAAAGCCTAAACCCAGTCGTAATTAATCAGTTCCCATATAAAGAAACCGTTCATTTGTCTTTTACACGACGAAAAAAACTTAGGTTAGAAATCATGAACTCTAGATTAAAAGTTGTATATCACGGATTTGTTCCTGTAACAACCATGAACCCTAGATTAGAACCTAGATTAGAAGTTGTATGTCACGAACTTTTTCCCTTAACAACCATGAACCCTAGATTAGAAGTTGCATGTCAGACGAAGGTTCTGGGGACGTGCAGATGAAGAACGAATTGGACAACTGTGTTCAAGAAATCCTGAATAGAAACTTTCAGGATGGGGATCAAACAGGTATTTTGTCCTCAATTTTATGGAATTTGGCGATGAAGGTTAAGATGCAAGGCAAGACCGAAGTGCAGACTAATAGGGTTGTGGCCAATGTTGTAAAAGAAATTGTGAATGAGTAGGAGGTTAAAAACTGCTATCACTCAGCTAATTTGTTCTGTTATTTACGTTTTGGATTTCAAATTATACTTATGATTATGGAAAGGGATTTGAAATCAATCCTCAACAACGTTTAAACAAAAAAAAAAACTAAAAGTTAGAGCTATAGATTGAAACAATCCCTTTGATTCGCCAATCATTCTATTTAAATGCACAATTTTTTATGTGATTCTTTTTTATTTCGAAATGCAGCACATATTGCAATATGGTTCAAATCATGAAGAGTGTAGAGTACGCTCCGGAATCGATGTAACGGCAGACTTCACAGCAACCGAAGTGGTAATACAATTTTTTCTTGACTTTCTTTCTTTTGGATTTTTGTGAATAAAGTTGATTTTCTTACTACATTAATGACATGCAGATAAATGTTGTTAAAGGCTTGTGTGTATATGAAAACATATTTACCTTAACAACGAACTTGATTAGAAGTTGTATGTCACGGACTTGTTCCCTTAACAACACGAACCGTGAATTTGTATGTCACGGACCATGAAACCTAGATTAGAAGTTGTATGTCACGGACTTGTTCAAACCGTGAAGTTGTATGTCACGGACCATGAACCCTAGATTAGAAGTTGTATGTCATTGTATGTCACGGACTTGTTCCCGTGCGGCCTTGGATATTGGATTCTTGTTGGATTTGTTGGATCTTTTGTGACCCTACCCCTATTTATACTAGTCCACCGTCTTAATGAACGGTGGAGATCTATTCCTACAAAATATCTACAAGATATCTACAATGGGAGAGTTCTAGAATAGTTTCTAGAATCCTCCAAGAATCTCTACATATCTCTATACATTAGGGTTGGGCCAAAACTGGCAGGCCATGACATGCAGCTCCCGAACTGGGGGAAGCATGTCAGACGAAGGTTCGGGAAGCATGTCAGACGAAGGTTCTGGGGACGTGCAGATGAAGAACGAATTGGACAATTGTATTCAAGAAATCCTGAATGGAAACTTTCAGGATGCGGATCAAACAAGTATTTTGTCCTCAATTTTATGGAATTTGGCGATGAAAGTTAAGATACAAGGCAAGACCGAAGCGCAGACTAATAGGGTTGTGGCCAATGTTGTAAAAGAAATTGTGAATGAGGACGCGGTTAAAAACTGCTATCAGTTAGGTAATTTGTTCTGTTATTTACGTTTCGGATTTCAAATTATACTTATGATTATGGAAAGGGATTTGAAATCCTCAACAACGATTTAAAAAAAAAAACTAAAAATTAGAGCTATAGATTGAAACAATCCATTTGATTCACCAATCGTTCTATTTAAATGCACATATTTTTATATGATTCTTCTTTATTTCGAAATGCAGCACATATTGCAATATGTTCAAATCATGAAGAGTGTTGGGTACGCTCCGGAATCGATGTAACGGCAGACTTCACAGCAACCGAACTGGTAATACAATTTTTTCTTGACTTTCATTCTTTTGGATTTTTGTAAATAAAGTTGATTTTCTTACTACATTAATGACATGCAGATAAATGTTGTTAAAGGCTTGCGTGTATATGAAAACATATTACCGGCTCAGAAATGTCAAAA